ACTCGGTATGAAACTGGGTGCCAAGTCGGCTTGGGGCAATTCATCACTTTCCATTGAGCCCGCCGATCTAGCCAGCTTTCTATCCACCTTACAGTCCATTCATCCATAGAAGGCAATTAGGTTAGTCAGGCACGACTTCCCCTTCATGAATCCATGCTGACTGTTCCTGATCACTTTCCTCTCCTCTAAATGTTTCATAATTGATTCCTTGAGGACCTGCTCCATGATTTTTCCAGGGACTGAGGTGAGGCTGACTGGCCTGTAGTTCCCCGGATCCTCCTTCTTCCCTTTTTTAAAGATGGGCACTACATTAGCCTTTTTCCAGTCTTCTGGGACCTCCCCCGCTCGCCATGAGTTTTCAAAAATAATGGCTAATGGCTCTGCAATCTCAAGCACCAACTCCTTTAGCACCCTCGGATGCAGCGCATCCAGCCCCATGGACTTGTGCACGTCCAGTTTTTCTAAATAGTCCTGAACCACTTCTTTCTCCACAGACGGTTGGTCACCTTCTCCCCATGCTGTACTGCCCAGTGCAGCAATCGGAGAGCTGACCTTGTGCGTGAAAACAGAGGCAAAAAAATCATTGAGTACATTAACTTTTTCCACATCCTCGGTCACTAGGTTGCCTCCCTCATTCAGTAAGGGGCCCACACTTTCCTTGATTTTCTTCTTGTTGCTAACATACCTGAAGAAACCCTTCTTGTTACTCTTAACATCTCTTGCTAACTGCAACTCCAAGTGTGATTTGGCCTTCCTGATTTCACTCCTGCACGCCTGAGCAATATTGTTATACTCCTCCCTGGTCATTTGTCCAATCTTCCACTTCTTGTAAGCTTCTTTTTTGCGTTTAAGATCAGCAAGGATTTCACTGTTTAGCCAAGCTGGTCGCCTGCCATATTTACTATTCTTTCTTTGAGGTTGTTTAACCAATTATGTATCTGCTTAATGGTAGTTCTACAAAGTCCACATTTCTCCAGCTTACTTATGAGAATGTCATGTAGGACTGTATCAAAACCCTTGCTGATGCCCAGCTATATTATTTCCACTGCATTCCCCCTATCCACCAAATCAGTTACCCTCTCAAAGAAGGAAATCAAGCTAGGTTGGCATGATTTCTTCTTGGTAAATCCATGCAGGCTGCTAGTGATCACCTCTTTGTCCACCAGGTATTTGTAAATTTAATGTTTTAGACATTGTTCTAGTAGGTTCCCAAGTTCCCTGGCTTTTCCTTTCCCCCCTTTTTAAAGATGAGCTCTTCTCCAGTCTTCTAGGACCTCTTCTGTCATCCATGAATTCATAAATATTATTGCCAGTGACTCCAAGATTTCTTCAGCTAATTCCTTCAGTACCATAGGGTAAATAGCATCAGGCCCTGATGATTTGAATTCATTCAAATTGGTCAGAAAATCTTTGATGTGTTTTTACTTATGCACATTTACATCTCTTTCCCTTTATTGTCTATGTTGCTAGTCATCTGGTCATTTTGCGGGGGGGGGGAGGGGAGGGAAGGTGGGAAAAACTAGGAAAAACTTTCTAACTCTCAGGGTAGTTACACTCTGGAATAAGCTTCCATGGGACATAGTAGAATCCTCAACTGAAGATTTTAGGAGCAGCTTGGACAAACACATGTCAGGGATGGGCTAGGTTCACTTGGTCCTGCCTCAGCACAGGAAATTGTACTTAGTGACGTCTCGAGGTCCCTTTCAGCCCCACATTTCCGTGATTCTAAGTAAACCTCAGGAGTTGGCCATGTTGTTCCCCTGCCTGTTTAGGTACCTGGATTCTATGGTTCTGGGAGGAGTCAAAGTGTAAAAGCAGTACCATTGTTTCCCTCTATTTGGCACTTACCAACCTGTTTTATTCCTAGATAAAATAAAGGACTTCAGAGACACATTTACCACCTTTACTACATCCTACTCAGAGGAAAATGTCAAAGTACTCCTCAAAAAAGCCAAGATGAATGTATCCAACAATAAGGATAGGATTCTGAAGGAGATCCAGCAGATTGTGTCCTCCCCCAAGGAGTTTTAAAATCACATCTCTGTTTGGTTCCTGATCATGAAGGACAGAAATTCTGGCTCTGACTCTCACATTTCCCGAGAGGCTGTTCACTGTGATCACTTAGAACCTAAGTGCAGCAGGGAGGAGTTTGTTTCCCTGTGTTAGGGCTTGTCTACATTACCCGCTGGATCGACAGGTAGCAATTGATCCAGCGGGGGGTCGATTTATCGCGTCTAGTCTAGATGCGATAAATCGACTGCTGAGTGCTCTCTTGTTGACTCTGGTACTCCACCAGGGTGAGAGGCTCAGGCAGAGTCAATGACAGAGTGTCAGCCATCAACTTCCCACAGTGAAGACACCATGATAAGTAGATCTAAGTACGTCGACTTCAGCTACGTTATTCACGTAGCTGAAGTTGCATAACTTAGATCGATCCCCTCCCTAGTGTAGACCAGGCCTTCGATTCACAAAGGGATTTAGGCACCTAACTGCCCCTGTAGGTGCCTGAGTCCCAGATTTTGGCATCCCTGGGATTCACAAAACTCTTGCTCAGCTGCCGTGGAACCCTGTAGCACCTAAACTCCCTCAACACCGAAGTTGTTTCAGTGAAATTTCCCCATGTGCCTATGTTTCAGCCTTGGGGCATGTGCACTGCAGCCGCCATCTTGGTGTCCAGGTGCCTAAGCCCCAGAGTGGTTCCCGACCCGGGAAATACGGGTGTTCCTCTGCCTACCTCACCTGTGGAGCCTGAGCTGTGGTGTAAGAAGGAGGAAGATGGCCTCCCTCAGAACTGTTAGGCCAGTACTTAGCATACTCAGCTGGGATGGAGGAGACCCCTGTTCAAGTCCCCCGGCTGCCTCAGGGGGAGAAGGGATTTGCAGAGGCATCTGCTACCTCTGAAGCGAGGGCCCTCATCACTGAGCAGTGGGATAGTGTCATGGTGCAAGGGAGGGGGGAATTGTGGCTTTGCATGAGAGAGAGCAAGGGTAAGAAGCCTGATGGATGCTTCACTCCCCTCTGAGTTCACAGATCCAGGCTCTAGTCCTCCAGCTCTCCAGCCCGCAGTGGTAGGCCCCACAGGCGATCTATGCGGAGGAACACCTGTCTTCTCTTAGTTTGTGCATTGCTGTAGGGCTTAGGCATCTGTATGCCTAGAGCAGGGCAGCTGTGTGCATACCAAGAGGCATCTAGGGAACTCTTACTGCCAAAACGTGGGTGTTGACTGAGATAAGGCGTCTACAGGATTCAGCGACAGCTGAGTGGGAATTTGGTGACTCCTAGTGGGGCCTGATGCTGGACTTCTGGTGTGTAATATGGCAGCTAGGAGCCAAGTCCTTTTGTGAATGTAGCCCTGGCTACAGGATGATGAATTTGGTAAAATGTTCCTAGATAGATAGATAGATAGATAGATAGATATGATTATTAGACACATAAGTAGATGCACAGTAGATAATAGTCACTTAGCTAGATAGATAGATTTATATACAATAGCTTTTGATGATAGATAGATTCATATACAATAGGTTACAATAGATAGATAGATAGATATGATTATTAGACACATAAGTAGATGCACAGTAGATAATGTTATCGTAGCTAGATAGATAGATTTATATACAATAGGTTATGATAGATAGATAGATAGATAGATAGATAGATAGATAGATAGATAGACAGATATGATTATTAGACACATAAGT